ACTTAAAGAACATATTTTCAAATTTATGAAAATAATTTTTACTGTAAATTGTTTAGCGGAAAATATTTTCGAAAATTTTTATGTACTTACCAAATTCATAATTTGAACAAATAGATTTTTAGTTATTAAAATGCTTATTTGGAATAATATGGAATTTCAATAATCAGATTTTTGAATGATTGTATTTAGTTATTTAAAATAAAAAAGGGGTGATAATGTATAGTAAATCACCCTGTATTCAGTAATAATATTAATATACACACACACATACATTTAAATTATAATATACCGATCTGTGCATGTCACATATTATATATATATATATATTATTATATAACGCACCGCAGAGCATTTGGCACACACGTGTGACGTAAAAGGAAACGATCGGAATTTCGCACGCCGAACGTTTTGGATCTCGGCCATCACCGCTGGTACCACAGTCGCCGACGTCTCCGCGGCAACACGCTTTTTGAAATACGCGGATCATATTATAATATATATATACTATATAGGATGAAGATATTACGCGACGCATTCCGATTTTTACACAATACTTTTCAATATAGTACCTATAAATATGTGTTTTAATAAAATACGACTATATTGTATTCAGTGGCGTATATAGAAATTAATTTCCGGGGGGGTTAAAAAAAATTTATTTACCTAATCAATATTATAAACTAACTTTATTTTAATAATTATAGACATTTAATTCATTTAAATCAGTATTACTATCAATTTTGCTATTATTGATAGTAGTGGATGAACAAGGATTATCATCATGTTTTTCAGGCTCAGTCACAGCTACTTTTTTATTAAAAAAATGTAATAATGAAGGTTGTGATGCCATATTTAATAATTAATATTTTGTTACACACGCGACACTTAACGAAACAACTGACATCCGAAAACAAACTAAATTTTGTTTGTCTGGTTCTTCATAATAATTAACAACCAAATAATAAGAAATAATAATATCGATAATTTCGTCTTTAGATTATCGTCGTATATTGAACACAGACTTCTATACTAACTATATATTATATGTATATAGACCGTCGACAACTCGCAGCGGTCCGTCACGACTTACGACGCGTCGTTATCTTGTAGTATTTCATAGAAATCCTGACATTATATTATAATAATAATAATAATATTAAATAATATGATATAATATTATAACAATCAAAATCAAGGCCAATACCAACCATACATTTCGGGGGGGGTTTGAACCCCTAAAACCCCCCCCTATATACGCCACTGATTGTATTCTTGCAATATTGTGGTGAATATATTACGTTATATACTCGTACGTCTTGCAAAGGGCCGAAACGAATTTATAAACGTAACATAGACTTATATGCGCGATGATGTCCCGTCTAGGATTTACCTAAATATACATACTTGTAAATTGTAGAATATATCAGTTCGGCACCAATCCTGAATAGAACTAAAAAACAAAACGACTAAGTTGATGCGAGCTGCACGCTGCAGGTACTAAGTCACTACTGATACAGCGCGCTCTAATAAGAAGATAATAAATTTTTCAAACCGATACGAAAATCGGGGTGCACTTGACATGTGAATAAATTATTGCAAACTATACTGTCGACACTTTATAATAAGTTTCGAGACACGTCATGGATCGTAACACGCGCGTTTGAGTCGCGAACGGCTGCAAATTTCACGGATGTCAGTATGATATTTAAATATTAGGCTTATATTACATATAATGCACAAGTCCGATACACGACACACTGCAAATACGATCGGTAATACCATTATTAGATATTATTTCTTTGAATATAAACAATAAACCAATATAATTATTAATGTAAATTTATTACAAAATTTAATTAGTAGAATTAAAAAACGATATACTGCGCGATAGTTTCACATAAGTATCAAAATATATAACTGATGTTGATGACTTATAAGTCGTACATGCGTTCCGTTCAATACTCGCGATTGACTGTAAACATATTATATTGGTATGTCGTACACAGACTCGAGTCCGCGATCGGTGACCACGGTCGTTGTAACATTACAAATACCATCGATTACACGAGTACGCGACCGTCACCCGGCACTAAGCACACTATTGTCGTTTCATATATAGACGTATATATGATTGTGTGTAAGTGTATGTACGTTTATGTATAAATCAAATATTATGTGTGCATGTAATGTGTATGCATTTATGTGTAATAACGACTACGCATATAATATGACAAAATAATATTTGACGATATACATATTATACGATACTCAGCTGCGACCGCACACGATCGCCAAAGGATAAGTATAGGTATATTTTTTGTTTTTTTCAATAGACGCATTGACATTTTACATTTTTTACTCTAATAGTCTTAGTCACATTTACATAATGTGTATAACTTGCGACCATTGAACAGTGAAGTGTACAGTACCATCGTACGCACGTTTATATATATATTTATACATATATATTAAATATAGAATTTCACATACCTATATATGTGTATAATTATATGGGTTTTCTTCTTTTCCTATATGGTCGACGGATCCTGCAGCGAGTCGATAAATAATTGACCAACATATAACATTGTAATGCGCGTCACTAAAATATTAAAACGCATAACTCCGATTGAACATCGATGTTTAAATGAAAACCTCTTCCCCTTCGCTATAGTCCGACCGAGTATATATACAATCGCCGTTCATTCAATCGCGTCCTGCAGCGCCCGCTTGCCCACCCAAGAGGTGTTGGACCGCACGGTCGATGGTAATCTCTATTATGTATACACACACACAAACACACACATACATAGCGATGATCGACCTTTGGTAATGGCGACTGCAGGGTCTCAAGTGAAGTCGATGGGGTGTATATAAGTTATGTCAAGGCGCATCGCATCGATTCCCCCGATATATATGATATACGATTCTCAGAAGATTATATTCCTAGTAAGACGAGAAATATGTGTGTGTGTGTATTAAATTGGTCATTTATACAATGACGGTTTTTTTCCATATCATTACTTTATATTATATACATATTTTTTTTATATAATACGCATTAAAACGGTCGGAAATCGAAAAGATTTAATATTTCGATTTTTTTTTTTAACAGTTATTTTTCTATATATAATAATGTACAAGTGTGACAAAAAAAAACTACCCCTCAAAACCGCATTCATCTAAAAGGCAACAGTTATTCAAAGACAAATCGTCAATCGAGGTCTCACCATACATAATACATAATATATATATATATATACAATATACATATATATGTTTGTATGTACGCAGTGCGTATCCTGTCCCGCATTTCTGTTATCGTTAGTTATCTATATAAGTATATGCCGTACGTATACGTCTAATACTCGCATCATGTTCAACGTTTGCGACGCATATAACAGTTTACTGAAGCTATATAATATTTATATAGTGTGTCACGTATAATTTTAGTAGTTTTAGCTGCCATAATACAGTATAGTATGGTCGCTAAACAAGCACGCATGAAAAAGCCAGGATAGATATTATTATATTATGTTTTCTACAAGAGCCTACAGTATGTGTATAATGTATATATATATAAATCACTGATCCCAAATATCTTTTGGCGTATAAATCAAATAGGGTGTGGTGCATTGAATTCCCCGCATGACGCCAAAAAACTGTCAAAATGTACTTTTATTTGTATTTAAAAAGGCAAATTGAAAATTAGTTTCCGGTATCATTCTTATTGTGTAGATACATTTTTTTATACCCAAAATATAGATCAATTTTAAGGGTACCTAATATAGTAAACATATGTTTTTGTCTGTTTTAAAATAATAACGGTAAATAAATTTAACGATACATTTCACACATATATTTAATTTTTTGTAAAACAGTTTGAGTGAACGATACAATCACAAAATGTATTTTATAATATTGTGAAAAAAAATTAAATATCTTGATGTACAAGAAATAATTGTAGATGTTAAAATAGTACATTCATAAATATGGGTTGAATAACACAAAATTATATATTTTTTTCAATAAAAATAATAAATAAATATTCTAATAAACTTGCTCATTGTTCTAAGGGATTTTATTTTATTAACTATTTAACATGGATCATTAAAGTGTATTTTTATATGTATTATATAATGTATTAAGCGTTTCTATTTTATAAGTTTAAAGTATTAAACATAATTTACACTATTTACATATTTGTTATTTTATTTATATAATTGTGTTAGTACATTTCAAAGGATATACTTACACTTCTGATACATATGCTTTAAAACTAATAATAAAATACATAATTCAACTATATAAGACTTAAATATATTATTTTTTTAACTTAAATAAAGTACACAGTTCAATAAACATTTTTATATCTGCATATTTAATCTAAAGTTAATATTATACTTTAAAAATTAACTTTCAGATTGAGTTTGTTTGGTATTCTTACTTGTTAGTATTCACCCTTAATTACAAATTTTTACTGTTGTACTTTCAATGTTTAACAGTTGAATTATTATTTTTTTCACAACATATTTTTTAATTGAATTTTTGTTAAGAATGTTGAATTATTATTTATTTATATTTTTTGTATATTTTTTTCTTCGTTAAATATATTTTCTTTTTGTACAGCTCAACGATAGTGTATAATTACAAAACTTTGCAGTATAAAGCATTCTTAAGTTTATATGCGAGAAATAAAAGCTTGATTACATAACAAAGTAGTCACTGATCTATAAAATTGTGAGTTATATTAATAAAACATACACGAAAATCAAATATTAAAAAGTTAGCGTGATACAAACCAGGCACGTATATAGGGCGGATTCAACCTTGCTCACAAAACCACCACGAAATTGTGTACGAAAATATTCTTTAGTTATATATTATAAGTTTTAATTATTAATTTATATTAGTTATTTTTTATTTTTTTCTATCATTTGTAAGATATACACAATATAAAAATATATACAATAAAGTTTGCAATGAGAGTATAATGTAATGTTGATTTTTTTTATTACATATAGCTAAGTGTATAATGTTGACTTTAAGTTACATTAGAAAAAACTCATTTGCAGTAATACGTACTTTAAACGGTGATTTATGATATCCCAACCAAAATTGTTTCTGGATACATACCTACAATACAAAAAAAAGCTTTATTTAGATAAATTTAAAAGTGATATGTATATTATGCAGGAATGTATTTAATGCATCAATATATTTTGTGAGAAATCAACCAGAAAATATATTTTTTTCTTAAATGCATTTTAATATCATTAAATAATATCTAATTAATTTATCAAGAAGGTAATCCAAGAATAATTTTTTGATTGTAAATAAATATTTCGTGATCAATATGAATCAAATATTAATGTACTAAAAATACCTATGTACATATATATGTCCGCAGGTAGAACTCGGGTATCTTAAACGGTGGTCGGTGATAATCAGCGATAAAACAAATAAATGATGTAATTTCTCACTTGTCTGTTGCTTTAAAAATCAGTGTGTCTACTTTAGGGTAAAACGACGATTTTTTTTGTAAATCTTAAAAAAAAGTCAGTGTAGTTGTTTAAAACAAGAAACATAAATATAGTTTCACGCGCTCATTCAGTTCTAGTCTGTACTAATCGAAGCGCACACTATATATATATATATTAGTATTATATAATATTATACTTAAATATGAACCGTTCTAAGGGATTAATGCGTATAAATATCATTCGAGTGTTTTAATGAAGAATGTGTATAAGCAGTAAGTGCATATAGAACGCTGCAACCGCGATTGTTGAAAGAAAATTCCAAAATCAAATAAATGTACGAACGGACCTAGTTGTGAAAGGAAAAGGTTTATTTCCGGCAAAATAAATCAAGTAAAACAATAATCGATAGAAATCCCAAGTCTCTGGTAGTGGTAGCAAAGTATGATTTTATTGAGGCGACGGCAGCGGCTGCGACAACGGCGACGAAGACCGTGTGCGCGCACGCGTCATCGTGCAAGTGCGCGCGTGCACTTAAAAATTGCCGCCGCCGGTGTCAGTGACCGAAGCGTCGCGGCGCCCCGGGCTCGGTTCCAGAATGTCTATTTCAAAATGGTCGTCGCGGGGCTCCGGCGCGAAATCGTAAATGTTAGGTTTATTTTTAAAAGCTCTCGGCGTCGCGCCGCCACTGACCCCGCACCAACGGCCGGTCGGTCCCGGTCCGTCTGCAGATATTATACTCTTAGACGGCCACTGAAAACACGGTCGACGGCCGTTAAAGATTTGGCGACGCGTGACTTCATAAAACGAACTCACGGACAGAGTTCGTATTGTTTTATTCCGAAGTTCCATAAAGTTAACATCACAAGCGCAGAACGCCTAAAAGTATCACGGGTGTTGGACTGACGAAGCACCAAAAATATTGTAGAGGAAATTTTACACGACATGGGCTCCGCCCCTCGCACTCCCCAAATATACTGCACCGCCGCACCACATTCCGTTAAATTTGTTATCATCATTAATGAAATCGACCTAATTTTAAACTTAGATTAATTATAACATTTTGAATTTCACATTTACTTAAAATTAATAAATTTATTATGGTACATTTTTAGGGTTCAAATGTAAATCTTTACATTAGATAATGTACGCTTCTTTCCGAATATTCATACAAAATAATTTTACAATTGACAATACATTTTTCAATATGAATAGTAGAAGTATAACACGAAACAGATAAAGTTTGTTAAACTAATGCTACTTTAAATTAATTTTATAAATTTGAATATACTTTCTTACTGATGACTTTTTGTGCAAGTTTGCAGTAAGTTGATTTTCACAGTTTTCAATATACTCGTAACTATCAGACTTATAAGATTCTTTAATATTAATCTATAATAATTAATTTAATAATTAATACTTATGTATACGTACCTATAGGTATAAATAAAATGTTTAATTATTTTTCAATATAAATTTAAATATATAAAAGCAAATTATTATAATTATATTATTGTTTATTATGATAATAGAATTCTACAGAGATGGGATTTTTAGCGTGATATCTCTATAGAATTCAGGATATTAAGCAATATTAGCACCGCTGCGATTTGTGTCTATGATACACTTATATATAAGTATATCTTATATTAAATCATATATCATAAATTAAAATAATATTGAATATTTTATTTCTAAAAAATAAAAGTTACATAAGTACTAAATGTAGATACTTGCAGTTTTGATACTTTTTATTGTTCTTGTTTTTTCTTCCTTATTATGTTTGTTATAGTTTATCCATACATAAATTTTCGATTTTTTAGTAACCTATATAGATTATATTTTTATACAAGGTCTAAATAAGAATATTATTCTAAATATTTTTGTATACCTACATGAAAAAATAAAATAATATTGAACTATGTACAATATATAATATATATATATAGTAGGTTTTAATCAATAAGTACGAGTATTTAAAGCTTGGGCGGGTCTGGAGTTTCCTGAACATTTCTCTCGGTGCTTAACATACCCTTAATATAATTATTGACGATTTTTGATTTGGATATAAGATATTTCAAATTACGAGTATATCAGCCCCTCAAACAATTATAGGTACGCCATGCAAGGACACTTCACGCTTGGTGTGTTGTTTCAAGTTATCTATAACTCCTTCGGGCTTCGGCTAATCTACTACAATATTCCTAGCTGCTGCATGTCAAAAATCGGTTTATGCCATTGGGCCATGACATAACAGTAATAATAAGTTGGAGAAGGGGTTGATATTTTTATTAAAAATGTATGAAATAATAATAATGTACAAAAACTAAAATCCACATTCTGACGATAATTATTTATATTTCCAAAATAAATACGATTTTATATTTTTATGATAATTAACTCCACAACATAATGAAGAAAAAATAATTTCTACAATATTGTACATTTGTGTATGTATAATAAATAAAAACTGGCGAGCACCGCACCATTGCCGTTGTCGTATATTTACATTGTGCAGACACCGCCGCAATAACCTCGTGTGCGGCGTTTTCGGTCCGTTTTTGGCACGAACGTTTGGCGGAACCGACAGCACACTTTATGTTATATATATATATATTATATATATACGGGGTAGTTTAATTACACCGGACATAATAGAAATAAAAAAAAAAAAAATTCACTAGAATTAACGATAAAAAACAAATAGATATAAACTTTGTAATAAGGGATGATCCTATACATAGATAACAACTTAACTCTTATATCTTTCACGTTTATGTATAATTTTACATGGCTAGAATAATACATTAATGTGTTGTGCTTATGTTATCGCGTACATCAATAATTATGTACCTTCCTAGTGTTTTAAATGGTGTACATAAATATAGTTAAACATTAAGTATATATATATATAATATATAGGACATAGGTATAATGATTGCATTGGCGGAAATGTCAAATGTATAATTTCGAATCTATTAGCAAACCTTTACAATTTTTCGACACATTATGTTATATAAAATATCATAAAGGACGATATTGATTCACCATACATGTACACAAATACATAATACACGTCTGAACAAAAACTGATTTAATTTTTTTTTTCTTTGATGTTTATAATTTAAAATCTGTAGTAACGACAAGAAATATATATACACATAAAAACATCTAATCGTCAGAGAAACATCGAGGATTGATATGAATGTATAAAAGGTTCGATAAAAAATATGTATTTTATGTACAAATATTTATTTAATAAGTAGATACTACAGAATATTTATCGCTACTGTGTTCAAGGACCATCATCATGAGAAATAATCAAAATTCACAAGTTGTTATTCACTGACACTAATCAACATTCGATATTTCGTTTAACTTTCAGAAATTTAAGCAGTATTGGCTTTCTATAAGAACATACTAATTTTATGATTAATTAATAATAATTTATATAAAACAAACTATATCACATATTTTTAATTATATTTTATATTAGAAATTATTAATGCATATAAAATATAAAATAGGTACATAATATCAGGCACGTACACAGTCATGTAAAAAAAATTCAGACAGGTTCACAACATTTTACATTAATCAATATTACACACACACACGTATATTATTTTTATTTTTGAGGGAGAGGGTTGAACCCATAAACTTCCCTGTATACATTCCTGAACATTATACAAAATATAGGACTGCTCAGTCATCTAATTATAGATTTAATAAATTTATTAACCTTTGTTAATTTATTATATATAAATATATTTACCTTCTATAATATAATTTTATTAATTTAATTATCAATTTTCTATAAATTCTATTAGATAAAAATGACAATTAATTTTTTTCTTTCTCAAACGATTTTCTCAATAATATTTAATAATGAACCTATAAAGTATAAATGCATATGAAGAATACAGATATATTTAATTGGTAATTAATATTAATTATTAGATTAGTATATCTATCATTTAGAAATATAACAAATTACTGAAATTGAAAATTAAGATTGAAATATAGAATATTATCAATTCCCTACAATAAAAAAATTATAATTATCAAGTTCAAAATTCAATAATTTAAACAAATGCACATTTTGTTTATTGATCAAATACTTACATAAAATCTACATCATCACGCATACTTACATTTAAAATGTATGTTTACAATGTAAACTTTAAATTACAGTATTAATATAGAATAGTGACTATTTTTTAAAATTAACTTAATTTTTTAATGCATGGATATTCTCTATTTTTTTGACTCTTGTTATATTTAAAATTATATTAATATTTACAAAACTAGTTCACATAATATTACATATAAATAATTATTGATGTACCTAAGTTTTTATATTTGTAGGTTATGATTATTAAAATAAAAAGATTATGCTATTTATAGTAATTTAGTACCTAACCCGTGATTTAGTTTAACTATATAGTTATTGTTATTTTATTTCATAGCATTTAAACGCTTTAAATTTAATACATGTGCCAAATTTCGTTAGTATTACTTAAACTTTTCTTAGTGTATTGCCAAAAGTTGTGTTGTGTCTGGCCAAAAACTGATCCTATAGGCTATAATTGGTTCAACAAACATTATTTCATATTTAAACATGCTACAAGTTATAACTAATAAAATCTTAAGCTA